TTTAACCAGATAATATTTATTTTTTAAAAATCATGTACAATGACTATGAAAAAATATTATGGATACAAGTGTTATAGGTAAAGTGGGGATAAGATAACTTAGCAAAGTTACAAAGATAACCAAATCAACAAATTACAAAGATAAAAAATATTTCAGAATATACATTAATTAGCCTTAATTTATTTACAAATAAACATGGAAAGAAATATTCTCATATACACATGTGAAAAATGATCCATGGCCATAGCTTGCGAGAGGATTAAAAATTATTAATGTTAGTCCTCTCTATAATAGATCTTTCCAAAATAATGTATATATAAATGGCAGAGGCATTCACAGTCCAGTGAAGTTGCATATGAAATAAAAAAGAAACAAATATCCAGTAAGGCATTGTAGATTCATGTAGATCTTAAACAATGAATATGGAAAAAAATTCATAAGCACTAATTACCAAATTCTTGAAAACTACATATAAATTAATGACCAACCTTGCTACAAGGTGGTATTAAATACTTACGGTTTGGGCTTGGCTAGATGGCTCCACTGGAGCGGGCTGGATTGGGCTGGGGGGGGGTAATATCACTTTTCTGCCTGGAACAGGTACCAGAATATTGTTCCTGGGGGCACTTTTTGCTAGGTTGCATCAATCCCATTTAGCTGGCTGGGTGGGTTAGGGTCTGTTTGGGCTGTCCTACTCAGAGTCACCGTTCAGGGCTGTTTTTTGGAATGTTGGTTTTCTGACCGGAACTGATACTGGCATGTTATACCTTGGGGTGAGGGCTTGTGGTTGATGGAATCAATCCCCTCTAGCTGAATAGGTCAGGTGAACTTAGTTTGGCTCAACCAAACACACATTGCACAAAGTCTCTGCCTTTGTCCTCTTGGTCTCTCCTTTTCTTTAGTCCCTTCCTCCAGTAGAGCTTTTCTTCCTACCTTTCCTTCCTATCTCTCCCCTGTCAAACTTCTGTCAGCTGTCCCTGGTTGCGAGCTCCCTGGGTCTCCCTCAGCTGTATTCCTAAAGTGTGCCCTGTTAGGAGTCAGCAGCCAGGACACCCCCGCTTCCTATTGATCTAAGCACATGGCCCTTGCTGTTGAGAATGCCCCCTTCCTATTGAGTTGAGCACACGGCTCTTGCTGCTAAGGACATCCCTCCTGTTAAGGTGAGCACATGGTGTTTCCGAATGGTCCCTTCCTGGTGTTCATCTAATAATATTCATCTCTTTGCCTTTGTCTCCTTGCTCTCTCCTTTCATTTTGTCCCTTCCTCCAGTAGACCTTTCCTTCCTACCGTTCTTTCCTATCTCTTCCCCATCAAACCCCTGTAAACTGTCCCTGGTTGCAAGCTCCCTCCATCTGTCTCAGCTGTATTCCTAAGGCATGCTCTGTTAGGAGCCAGCAAACAGGACCAGAATGGACTGGTATTCAAGTATATTGCCAAACAAACAAGGTAAAAGACAAAGAAAAATTTGAGCCCACACAAAGCATAATAAAATGGCCATTTCACAGAAGGCAAACTTGTGGTGCACAAAGAAATGCCACAAATGGAAAATGCCTATCCAGTGATCCTACGTCCCAACAACATATGCAGCCAGTCCAGGTAAAACACATCTTTCTCTCTCTCTCTCTCTCTCTTTCCCAACAACACATGCAGCCAGTCGAGGTAAAACACATCTTTCTCTCTCTCTCACACACACACACGCACACACGTGTATGTGCATGTGGGTGAGTGTGCAAATATGTCTGTGTGTATGCACGCACACAAAGTACATGCCATATCAAAACGAATACGAAAATAAATCAGCCCCCCATACACTCCCAAAGCAAAATCAAGGTGGGAAAAAAGACACACACATCAAAGATTAAAAGTCTCACAAGACCGTCTTGTCTTTACAACATCCTCTCAATCACCTTCCCAATCACCTTTTTCTTTTTTCCTCTCTTTATGTACCTCTGAGAGATATTTTGGCAAATAAAACAGTACTGGAGGCTGGTGATTTCTTTGAATCATGCTAACTCTTCAGTTGCTACTTAAAATAAATGAAGGGTTATGGAGGTGTCTGTGATGTCTTTTCTTTGTAGATGAAAGACTATGTCCAAATTCCCAAAGCAGCGAAAAACTTTATATGTGAAACCATTCAAACAAATCCATAAGGAAATTTACACCATGGATCAATTCCCTCCTTAATTCAGACACGGGGTCACTGGTGCACCCCTTTTGTACCTTAAATTCCACCTCAAGAGATGATCTACACTTTGATTAGCTAAAGAAAGAGGTCAAAGCCCCTGCTAACCTGTAACTAAACCCATTAAACACAAGACCTCCTCCACCCAAATACAGACATGTTAGATTGGACTAGTAAAGACTGCGTGACAGGACTGTACAGAAAATATGCTGTTTCTAGGTGTCCACACTGTCAAAGATTGTATTTAGTTTTCTCTGTTCCATACTACCATTCTCTATACTAGTACTGTTTCTCTGAAAATAAGACCTAATCTGAAAATAAGCCCTTGTATGATTTTTCAGGATGCTCGTAATATAAGCTCTACACCCCAAATAACCCCCAGTTAAGTGAAACCCCACCCTCCACCATTGTGCAGCAACCTGAGGAAGATGACATGACTGTATTTGAATAAATGTAGATGGTTGTACATGAAAAAGATATAAAGCATCCCCTGAAAATAAGCCCTATTGCATTTTTGGAGCAAAAATTAATATAACGCCCTGTCTTATTTTTGGGAAAACATAGTAGCACGGTGAGCAACAATTTTATTATGCTACAAAGTTTATTTGAGATGGAAATTAAGGTACAAGAATGGTGGATCAATGTGCTTCTTCAAACCCCCCCCCCTTTTTTTTTGGTGTGGGGTTTGATCTGCGATCTGAATTTCCTCACTTTTGGTCACGTTTTCAACCACAACGTTTGCTTTAAATCAGAAGGATTTTTTCCCCAGCATGAACATGTGGGATGGTTCCCCTGGGGCAACATATTCCAAAACATGACACATCATACCAAAAATATCTCCTGCCCAAGGCGGTGGGATTACAAAACCACAGAAGTTATCACAGAATTTCCATTCTAAGTGAGGTATTCTAAGGTCCTTATTTGTGGGTGGCTACATGGCTTTGCAGAACATGGGGGCTGCTAAGTATTATTATCAGAGAAAATGAGAGCATGTTGTAAAGGATCAAGAACCAGGATAAGAATTTATTCATACACAGAGGAGGACAATTATTTAGATCTACATGTACCTTTCTAACATTGAATTTGAAATCTGTTCATGTAACCATTAGCTAGAACAAATGTTAAAGCTTGATGAACAAGGTGCTGTTATCTTTCTGTTTAAAGTTATGTTCTTAACAAGGGGCTTCACTGTACCTTCGTACTGTGTACCCAGTTTACTAGCTTCTTTCACCTCTACATAACAAATATGGATGCTCTAAGTGACAAAAGGCTTTGGTCTCAGAGAAAAGCAAAGTTGTTAGGAAATATTAGCAAGGATTTTATGCCTTTGTCAAGCAGACATATTTTGTAACTGAGTTTATAACTAGAAATTCCTCTTTTGCTAGTTCTTGTCTTTTAACACAAGATGTAACTACACCTTTTCAAGTTTGTGGTGACCAACACAAGGTCTCTATATGTTTACTTAGCACACCAGGCAGGACAAAGCTAATGCTACTAGGTGTAACAGAGCACCCTGAATCCAATGGATCCAAGATGCTGTCATATAATAAAGGACTGATAAATGGTTGTTGTAGGTTTTTGGGGCCGATAAGTGGTTGGTCATCTGACCTTCTAATTGTTTCCCTAATTGAAGCTTACTACTTCACACAGTTAATTAAATGCAAGTCTAATTAAGGGCAGTAATTTTTAAAAAATACTTTCTGTGGCTGGGAACTCATCCTTAAAACACAGAAGCACAAAACATTAGAGCAGTGTTTTGATGTCTGGCCCCACATTGCTTAATCCCAGCATATTAAAGTTCATTTGTTTATTTACTGAAGACAGATTTATACAATTGTAGATTGAATTTCTACATAGGTCAATAGTAAGAAGTAGGAGCATTAAAAACAAGAAATAACAACAAAATATCCAAAACGTTCTTGTGAAGTTTGCTTCCAGTTTAAGTCTGAAAACACATATTTATGGTAACTTAAGAACAGTTATAAAGACAAGCATTGCCTTCACCTGCAGACCAATCTAGGTAGCATCACAACAATAAAAGTTTATTTTACTCAGAGCTGGGTTTGTTGATTTAAATTGTATTCTTGTTTTGTTTTGGGTTTTATTTGATTGAATGTATTGTTGTAAACTGCCCAGAGAGTGCTATGCACTATGGGGTAGTATATTAAACAAACAAACAAACAAACAAACAGACAACACAGATCAATCTTTTCCAATCGTCGCTTGGAAAAGTTACATTTTGGCCTGGCTTACTGGGGATTTCTGGGAGTTGTAGTCCTAATATTAACTTTTCCAATGTCTGCTGGAAGTGTATGTCAAGTACCTGTCATGTCTTCCATTATTTTAAAAGTCTCAGAAAAACCTGTGCTATCCCATCCCATTTGATGTATCGTCATCCTAACAGGGCTTTCAAGATATGTGAGATATTTAAAGAGTATTTGCACCCCTGCCATCCCTCTAGGTAGGTCCCATCGCAGAGCAGGGATTTGAACTCAGTTCTCCTGAGTCCTAGTCCGACACTCTATCCAAGAACACCACACCAGCTTTCATTGAAAACCTACAGGCCTTAATCTAATTTCCAGTCCTAACTAGAGGACTCAATGAGGTCTACTTAATTGTGGACTGACCATTCTGTAATATCTTCATTGACCTAACACTAGTTGGAACCTGCAACTGGATTTGGGCCAAGATGTTCTCTCTCTCTTTTTTTTGGCAGATTTCTACTACTCTACTTTTTTTTGGTGTGGGAAGGTTGGTGGCACTCTCTTACACAGCAGGAAGTGTTCCTGTTATATATACATACAGTCCTGCAGTTTAGCTCTCCCACTGTACAGAAGTCCTAGGAAAGAACATACTGGATCAGGTAACTCCTAACAGCTTTTATTTAACAAAACATAAAGAAAACAGCTTCTGCTTCTGCAAGCAATAGATCACATTCTATGCAGATGTCTGCTAATTGTTTTAAAATGTATCCCATTATAACAAAATATGATATGTTTTACATTTACAAAGCCATTTCTGGATTTGTTGCTAAAGGGGCATATTTATCAATTGCAGCAAAACTTGCCTCAGTCCTCTTTGAAAAATAAGTGTCCGACTACTGGAGAGAAAGACTTTTGGTTGTTGTGGGTTCTTTGGGTTCTTTGGCCGTGTTCTGAACGGCCAAAGAACCCAAAAAAACCCACAACAACCATCAGATCCTGGCCGTGAAAGCCTTTGAGAATACAGAAAGACTTTTCCTTGTATGGCCCACAGCCATGGAACGCATTTCCTTCTCTTTGGCTTTTCAGTGCCTAGCTTTCAATGGCATTTTCATTATTTGTCATGAGTGCTTTCCCCTTTTGCTACATTAATTGCAATATATGAAGTGTTAGTTACCAGCTCCTTATTTTGCTTTTCTTTCAATCTGCTGCTTCATTTGTTACTATTTTTATTACTTTAATTTATTGTATTCAGAGTGCCCTTGTCATGATAATAAATGCTGAAGAGCTGAAGAAAGTGTTAAAATGATTTACGGTTTTATTAGTTGTTTGAAAAATATGGGTTTAGCTTCTTAGGTACTGGTGGTTTTTCTGCTACAAATAAAGAGTGTGACCACACAGAAACCAACCAGTTTATATGACAAACCCAAATTCTCCACTAAGGATGCAGCTACACAGCAGAGAAAATACTACTCTGGGTAGTTTGGGCGGCATATAAATTCAAATTCTTCACTAAGGGTGCAGCTACACAGCAGAGAAAATACATTTTCATTTGCTTTGATCCACAGTTTCTCAGATTGGGTCCCTGCTGGTTTCTGTGGATGAAATCACTGTAGCTGCCCAAATGACAAACAAAGGCAGAGGAAGAGGAAGGTGTCAGATGTTTGCACAGAACACCATCAGTGGAAGCTGTTTTTGATCTGATGGGGTGTCAAATGGCCATTTCCACTGGAAGCTCCATTGGGTTTGCCTCACCCCTCCCTAAGCTATGTCACTCATAGGAGTCATGCCATCTTAGAAAGAAAGAAAGAAAGAAAGAAAGAGAGAAAGAAAGAAAGTAAGAAAGAAAGAAAGACTGTTTGAAGACAACAGGTGCTCAGTTGAAGGGAACTGACACCCTCATGACTGCTCCTGAGCAGATCACACAGAACAGAAAGCAGAGAAAAGCAACAAGTTAGAGTAAAATAAAACCAGCGCTGCAGCTAAACAAAAAGAGATGATTCCTTATCAGGTTTCCCAGCACTGAAGTGCATGTGTCATGCAGTCGATCTCATCTATGCCTGATCTGATACAAATTGTAGCCTCAATGGTCAGTGCAATTATTCTTGAAAAACAGTGACATGTAAATGAAAGGTTTGAAAGTTAAAAGTAGCCACTTACAGAATTGTGTCATTAAGAGTTGCACTCTGATGATGAAGAGGCAAACCTAAGTGTTGTCACTTGATATCCACTCAACAGGATGGACAACACAGTAGATATAACTATTGAAATCATTTACTGGACTCGATTATTCCCTTTCTGATGCATACATTTGCAATCACATTTGTCCAACAGCCAAACAAAATATATAATGGTACAAAACTTTGCTTTCATATACCATTTATATCAGTTGGAGAAAGAATTATATGGGTATTCACAAAGGCTTTCATGGCCGGGAAGCAAAATATATAATGGTATAAAACATTGCTTTTATATACCATTTATATCAGTTCGAGAGGGAATTATGTGGGTCTTTAACAATCTCTCGCAGAATCAATATCAGTTTAAAAAGATTAATTTTGACTGGATTGTGTCCCTCCAGACTACACCTAAAAAGGAAATGGTAGAACAGACTGCCAGTTAACAACCCACAAATTCAGTATTGCATAGAGTTCAGCAACACCATGGTAACATGGTGAACCTGGACTCAGATCTCTGATTGGTCATGATCTCATTGGCTGACCTTTGGCAGTCTAACCATTACTCAAGATTGTGCAGATAGAATGGGAAGGAGTAAAGGAAAGCAATGACTAAGCAATTTAGAGAACAAAATAGGATATAAATAGAATACAAACATAAATAAAATAAGCATAATCTGTTTTAACCAGCCTAATGTCAAATTTTCAAATAGTTCTTTCCATGTTTCTCAGAAGATATTCATGATTCTTTGACTTATTTTAATGACTTGTTCTTGAGCCTGATGTTTGTTGGTTTGTTTAAAGCATTTGTTTATCACTTTTATGTTCACCAGGGCTCTCAAAGCTATTTACACTAAATTAAAACTACTGAAAATTGATTCAAAACATTCTTTAAAAGCAAATCCATTTGTTAAAAATCTGTTTTAAACACTAATCCTGGAAAGCAGAGTCCCTTCAGAACTGTAGTGCTTTAGCCAGGCCTCCATGGGCTCAGATAAGGTCATGGCCAAGACCATTTCATATTTTGAGTCCCCCTGATCATTTGGGAAGATACCTAACATAAAGAGTGACATGCTTTCTTTCTTTCTTTTTACTTGTAAAATGCACAACAGCAGGATGCTTGGCTGAGCTGAGGGCCCCCGTGATGTGAAGCCCCAGCCAAATGGGCCTAGTGACCCTCCTCATAGGGCCTGGTTTTAGTTTTCCATTGGATGGTCAAGAGATATGGACCCAAGCTAACCTCTCTTGCAAAGAGGTTCCACTATTGAGGTATGGCTACAAAGAAAGACCTGTCTTGTATATCCACACACCTAGCCTCCAGGGGTGGTGGAACCCATAACCAGATCTTCTCTGTTGAGGATATCAGACTCTGGGTAAGAATATACAGAATGAAGCTGCATGTGTTTAAGATGCTGGCCCTTGTACACTGTTGCCATGGCAGGCTTGCTTCCTGTCATGACTGCTCCCCAAAATCTGCTGCCTTTGTCTTTGGAGAGTGCATAGCGCTGGACTTGCCAGTCCTAGGAGAGACACTGTGCTCCAAAGACATCTGCCACCAAAAGCCACCTCACAGTTGAGAAAGAAAGAGAAAAGGGAAAAAAAATAAAAAAAATAAAATGCGGAATACATCTACTCCAAGTCTGCAACCATAAGCACACTTACTAGGGATAGAGTCCCACTGACTCCGAAAAAGGAAAAAAACAAATAAAAAAAAACTCCAAGTCTGCAACCATAAACATACTTACTAGGGATAGAGTCCCACTGACTCCTGGGTAAACATGCTGGGGCTTGCCTTGCATATAGACAAGCACCTTACAGAACTAGGTGTTATATATTCTAATCATGTTTTGCTAATTGCTTTTGTTTTTGCAGAAATGCTTCTTCCAGCTGTAATCCTCTCCTTGGCTGCTCTAGTGAAACCATCTCTAGGAGAGGTATGAGCTTCAAGATATTTCAAGCATCTACAATATACAAATAATTATTATGTGGAGAAGGAAAGAACAGATCTTCACCTGCCAAGCCAGCTTCACCAGCCCCACCCTTACTATTTCAGCACGGTTAAGGGAAACCTTCTTTACATGTTTAGGCTGTCCTTGCAGTTCAGAAACTTGACCTTCGGACCTCTGATTACAGCCAGATATGTGTGTGTGATAGGCACAAGCAGCTCCCTGTAAGCCCTATGCGTGTTCATCTACGTACATCTTCTACATTCTACATGGACCTATTCCCACCCACTCACTTTTTATGGATAGGATGATCTAGGTTTGTGAAAGCATAATCCAATTCCACTGATGTGGATGGATCACTGTAGGGCCCCACAATACCCTATTGTCTTCACAGGATGAAGGAACCTAAATGAGTGGCTCACCATGTAGGAAATATGGAACTAATTACTTGAGCTGAATGCAACAGGCTAGTGAGTAGAGCTGGTAGCTACGATCAAGAGAAATTACTCTGGCTGCTGTTGTGAGCTCTAAAGAAAGGCAAGTCTTTATTGTTGCAACACATTCATTCAGGATGTGGCATGATAAAAACCTGAACCTGACTACAGAGCCACATAGGGCTGGCTTCTCTATGTGCAAATTTGCTGGAGAGCATCATGGAGAAGCCCTCATAATTTGCCCTGCATTACAGAGGACAGAAGGAAAACAAACAAACAAACAAGTGTTTCATTTAGTGATGGTGTGTACAGTATGTATGTGGGGCTGGGTGGTAACCAAAGATGACATAATCAGTAACTAAAGGTCCAGAAAGAAGAGGAACCCCACCCCAAATCTGGTGTGTGATGAGATGACACTCTCCCTGATTCCATCAATGGCTTGGTACCCTGTACAAAAGGGAAAGAGAATGAAAACCCCTTCATTTGTTCATTTTGTTCTGTTTCTGTTTCTTTTGTAAATTCCTGTGACTTGATCCTGGGAGAGACAGAGCAGGATGTAAATGTAGATACAATAAAATGACTCTGCAGCAGGAGGAAAAGGCCTGCTGACATTGCAGTTCCAGCCATTATGATTCACCAGTGAGAAAAACCAGGGCTGCGCTAAACGTTCTGCGGCCTAAGGAGAGCAGATGCTATCGCCAAACTTTCAACTTAAAAATACTCATTCAACACGTGTGAGGTCGCCAGGGTTGTTTGGGGGTCTTCTTTTGCTACTTGTGTGTAGCTGTCTTTTCTTGGTGTCAAGCATCACCTTTACGATGCCATTAAGAAACTCTTCTGGGTTGTCATGGGCAAGAATGAGGTTGAGGACTATGAGAAGAGAAAAGAAAAAAAAAAAGCTGATGATGGAAAATGGAGTTGGAGGATCAGCCCACGATTGAAAATCATGCTTTTTCTAAAAAGGGCAATGTGAAAAATCATTCTTTAAACCTGATTCTAAACGAGTCATGCAAGCTGAACCCTAAGGGGGGAAAGGGTTGCTCCTCCTATGTGGTAAAACTCTGCTTCAGTGATAGGGAAGCAATAGTGCTATAGGGTGCTCACCAACCAGACAACTGAGGGCTCTGTTCCCGCTTGGCCTCTCATTGTGGGAATAGTGTATATATAGTCTCTGATATTAGGCAAGTTGGATGTGAACGTGAAGGAATCCATATGATGCTGATTTTTGGATTGAGTTAGATGCCTGGTGACTGTGGTCAGCATCCAAGACAAAAATATCATTCAATAACCCAATGGGATGCTGCAGAAAATGAAACTGTATCCTGGTTTCCTCTATGTATGGAGTCTCTCTATGCAAGCCAGAACCCTGGAAAATCAAGGTCCAATGTTGCATGGAGAGCCCCACGTCCTCAAGAGGCATTTCACTTTGGATTTGTTGCTTTATACACAAAGTAATAGCAATGGGGGTTGGGCTAGCACAATCCCCTCTTTGTGTCTCCTTATCCAAACTACAGAATGATTAAATAAGCATTACTCATGATAGATTGAAAAAAGCAAATAAAGAGAGAGAGAGATGCTTATATACCACCATATACAGCAGGCAACACATTGCACCCCCCCCAGCAAGCTAGGTACTCAATTTGCCAACCCTAGAAGGATGGAGAAGGCTGAGTGGGCTTTGAGCTGGCGACCTGAGATTGAACCCAGGTCATGAGCAGAGTTTTGGCTACTGTACTGCAATTTAACCACTGTGCCATAAGGCTCCCAACAGTCGAATTTTTCAGATTAAAATATATTGTGGAATAAACAGTTGGGTTTTTCAGATTAAAATATATTGTGGAATAACAATGCTAATAGCTATTTTTAAACTTCAGGAATACCCAGGCAGGTTGGCCAATATCCCAGATACTATGAAAGAGGAAATTCTTAACAAACTTAATGCTATCAGAAGAGGAGTACAGCCGCCTGCCAGCAACATGCTGAAATTGGTAAGGTATAATTCATAGACGTTGCTAGAAATTGTCCAGAGGCTTCCCTCTGACATTTGCAGTCCATGTTTCTTCCCTTGCAACCCATAATTTACTAGATGATGTGGAGTTTAGGTCACAATATATTTGGAAAATTTAAAGCCAGAATTGTAAACTGTTTGGACTGCTGTTTTTGCTCCTGCTGCTGTGGTTGCTGTTTGATCTGAGGACTGCTTCTTTAATGGTTAACAAAGGCTTTCATGGCCGGGATCTAATGATTGTTGTGGGTTTTTCGGGTTTTTTGGCCATGTTCTGAAGGTTGTTCTTCCTAACGTTTCACCAGTCTCTGTGACTGGCATCTTCAGAGGACTGGAGTAGCACTGTTGTTACTCCAGTCCTCTGAAGATGCCGGCCACAGAGACTGGTGAAACGTTAGGAGGAACAACTTTCAGAACATGGCCAAAAAACCCAAAAAACCCACAACAACCACTGCTTGTTTTATTTGTTTTATTAAAATCCTACTGGAAACTATGGGCTCAGAGCTGCTTTCAATTTTCCCCTAGTTCCTAAAAGCTCTCGCCCTAAGAGATTCACAGTCTAAAGACAACAGATGATTGGGGTGGGTGGAGGGGTGGGTAGAATTTAAAAAGTCCAAGTAAAAGAAAAGGGATGCTGCACATGTCATTTTATGATGAACAACATGCATACAATCAAAAATCATATTCTTAGTTCATTTAGGGTGTAATATCTGTACCTATTTGCATAAGACTAATTGAAACCAGGCATTGTCTTGATGTGCATTCTCAGCATCACCCCTAGGCATTTGGTGAGGGCCCAAGCCCTCAGACAGGCCCATTGGCCTACTTCCTAATCTTCCCTTCCCTTCTCTCGTGTGATCTTCATGAAAGGGACAGGATCAGCAGAGGGAAAACCCTCAACAAGAACAAGAATGAAATTCCATCAGTCTTATCTGTGAGTGGGCACAACGGAGGCTATATTACAAAATTCATAGCTCGAGGAATCATTTCTAACCTTTTGAGAAAATGTTGACACTGATAGGCATTGAGTGAAATTAGATCAGATATTGTAGAAGATGTTTTTCAGTCATGGATGAACAAAACAGTAGATGGTGCTAGAACCATTATTGTGTGGAATTCTTGGAGAGGAGTGACTCCTGCTTCTGCTTTTTGTGCACTGGTGCTTTCATTCAACAGAACAAGAATGGCTCCTTTGTGGCAATTTCATTTTACTTGTTCACAAGTTTGTGTTTTCTGGCAGTCATCTAAAAAAAAGAACCCCAACAAATTGGAGTGCCACAGTAACAAAGAACCACAACACTTCAAAAGCAGGCAACACTACACGAGAAAGAATAATAATCACCATTAGACCTGGGCAGGTACTAGCCTATATTATCAGATTCATTATCAACATCATTATCAATGATCATGGCATGTCTGTTGCCTTGCTTGTTTGGCACAGATAGCACAACTCCCTCCCCACCTGCCCATGGAGTCAACATCATCCTCTTCCCTGCCTTTTCTTGCAGCTGTCATTCATTTTTGTTAAATAAAGTAAGTGGCATGTTGAAACAGCAACGCAGAAACCTTGCATAGGATTAGAATTTAGCTGAATCGGTTAGGGGAATATTTTTTTAAAAGAAAACAAAAATAGAGGAGGGGTTTCTCTGACCTCCCTTTTAATATCACAACCCACCTATCACTGGACTTTGTCCCCTGACAACGCTGCCCACACCTTCATTTGGGCATGAACACAAGAGGTATGCAACAGCTCTTAAAGGGCCACAATGAGACAATATAAGTAGAAACATATACGGACAATGCGATTTGGTTTGCACCACACTGTATCAACAGTGATCCAAATATCGATCTAGATACCCATTCTAGACAGGCCTTTAGAAACATGAGTTTCTTGGTAGTAGTTTGCCAGGAACACCAGCTTTTCTTTGAACCCCTGACACGTGGTATCATTAGACAAAATTCAAAGCAGCGTTTTTGATAGCAGTTGCTATAGCAAGAAGAGTAACTGTCATTCTGTGCTCTTCAAGTGAAGAAGATAAGGTGGTTCTCTATTCTTGTGTTTTAATCTAAAGTATGCAGTTTTCTTCTTCCTCTCCCCCACTACAAATAATCTGATTTACCTTTTATCCATCTCTTCCGACCTGAAGAAAATCAGCATTCAAACATTTGTAATCTGCACCAACTACACTGCTTGTTGTCATCAGTTCCCAAGATTTTTGATTCGGTACTTGGCCAACGAAAAAGGGCAACCTGAATCTCTCCATCATTTTGCACTTGGATTGTTAAAGCTATTTTGTTACCATGTCAAATAGCCAAGTTGCCACTACCTACAGCTCCTAAGAACCATGCCATAAAAGCCTTGGCATTGTTTTTGAAGTGTATTTTGTTATCTGACTTGTGTCAGAGAGTGACTTCATCATAGGCATCAACATTTATGGGATTCTACCATCTGGATACTATAGCCTGGCAGGACACTTTGGTAGAACAGTGTTGTCTGCTTTCTTGTAATTATGTGTTTTGCCATGTGCCTCTCAATGAGAAGTGAGTTGCTGAAATGTTGCCCCTATGTGTGGTGCACAGAGACCACCGTGAAAAAGATAGATTGCTCAACTCTAACTCCTGTTCTTCAAGTGGTCATCAAGTAATCAACCTGTACTTCTGCTCTTTGTCAGCAGTTCTACTGAACAGAAGGACAGCATATTCAAGCATGCTTTGTAGATATGAGGGGAGGTGCTACCACCCAAATTCTCTAATCTAGAAGGTTTCAGATCAGATCTCTGTGCAGGTTTACACCCACGTGTGTGAATGTGTCGATGACCACTCAAAGAACAACAGTTACAGGTAAACAACCTATTTCTCTTTTTGTATCTAGTGTGCAAGCATCTGTAATTGCAGAGAAACAGTGGCTGAAATTCTGCTGCTTACCATAACAAATCACACTAGAATAGTCCCATTGACTTGGTGGGGATTTGGTGAGTCAGCTTCTTTATAAATTCCATTGATTCAAATGGGTCTATTTAATTGCTACTTACTGTAGTAAAGTATGTAGCAAGTAGAATAGGCCCATTTGAATTAATGGACCTTATGAAGGAGTTGATGGGCCTACTCTAGTAGAATCAAATACACTAAGCAATGGGATTTTAGCCACTGTGGAGCCAAAGTATACTTTACAGAAGAAGAAAAAAACACCTTGTAATTAGAGCTGAAATCACATAAGAAATTCCATTTCGTCAGTAAGGGCTGTGCCTGTGAAGTTATTCCTAACAAGCTGATTGCCTGCTTAATGGCCTCTTCAGAAGCATCCTGCTCTTTCTAAATGATCTCTGGGGGTGAGGAGATGTCCTAATATGTCTGAAGCACAGTTCTCTTTTTGCTTTTTAAGGTGTGGAGTGAAAATGCTGCTGCGAATGCTAGGAATTGGGCTAGAAAATGTCGAGGAACAGCCAGTCCAAAAGAGGAACGAATAGTGGATGGCAAGTAAACAGTATAGACTAAGAGATGTTTTATACATTATATAGTGGGAAGTGTTTAAATCACCAGGTAAGAAAATAGCTCTGCTGGGATATCTGTCTTCCATGTAATTTCTATATTGACCCTTGGTGAGAAGGAAACTATCAATAATGAAAAAAAGAAGATGTGTGCGCCTGACACTTAAACAAGAAATGAAAATCCCCAAACTATGTTTTAACAGAATTTAATAAAAATATGTCCTTCACTTGGTTCAAATATGTTAGGTTCTTCTTGCGATACTGACAGCAACAAATAAATCTTTCCTCTCCCCCCCCGCACCCCCATTGTTTCATCCAGCCATGTTGACTAAGTAAGCTTTTTTTGGAAGGTGAATTGTCTTATTCCAAGGATGCACAACTCAAGAACCTAGTGGGGGTGGCACAACTCATGGAGTTGCTGAAAATTGGCATGGCCACAATTTCTTTCCATCTTGTAGATGAAGTCACTTGTATTCTTGCCAAAGGTCAAATTACGCAATATATGAAATACAGCCCCTTTTCTGTTTTATTTAGGAGCAAACATACATTGCCCCAACCTGGACCATGACTAGTGCCAGTGGATAATAGAGGTTTGAACCTCTACTCTTAGTGCCTTCTCTTCTCAAATTGTCCTTCTCATCCTGAAACTGAAAAGAAGAAGAAAAAATACAATTTTTCTTGTCACTGGTGGAAAATATCTCCCTATCCCCCTTTCTACCACCGCCCCCAAAAGGAGGCAGGAGAACTTTAGCAAACTAGCTTAAGCCTCTGCTGCTCAGATGTGGCAGCCACAATTCAGAATAGAGCCCATGTACTTACTTCTGAGTTAGGGGGGAAACTGCACATTGTTGTTGTTGTTTGTTGTTGTTTAGTTGTTAAGTCGTGTCTGACTCTTCATGACCTCATGGACCAGAGCACGCCAGGCCCTCCTGTCTTCCACTGCCTCCCGGAGTTTGGTCAAATTCATGTTTGTAGCTTCAGTGACACTGTTCATCCCTCTCGTCCTCTGTCATCCCCTTCTCCTCTTGCCTTCACACTTTCTCAACATCAGGGGCTTTTCCAGGGAGGCTTTTCTTCTCATTAGATGGCCAAAGTACTGGAGCCTCAGCTTCAGGATCTGTCCTTCTAGTGAGCACTCAGGTTTGATTTCTTTTAGAATTGATAGGTTTATTCTCCTTGCAGTCCAGGGGACTCTAAAGAGTCTCCTCCAGCACCACAATTCAAAAGCATCAGTTCTTCAGTGGTTAGCCTTCTTTATGGTCCAGCTCTCACTTCCATACATTGCTACTGGAAAAACCAGGGGTGGGGGTCGGGGGTGGCCACATTCTCTGGCTTTTCAGCTGGGCAGGTGAACCAGAGTGAAAACATTTCTTTTCCAGTCCATCTGCACCAGTCTTTTGACTGGATTCCCCCTATTGGAAATACTCTGCTGGCAGGAAATCTCCACTTCCCACTGGCCAATCAGAGCTGGTAGCAGAATCTCTGGCAGCCGCCCCTCCTTGCTCAAACAGACTGTTTGGCTGCCACCATGCCTGCCCTGGCACTTCGAGCCCAGGTGAGTCCTCCTCAGCAGCAACAACTAGGAGCACCCAGGTAAGTCTGGGCTCCTGTTTATAGATTTTTGGTGTTGTTTCAGAGAGCAACTGTGATCTAAATATCTAGAGTGCTGCAAGCTCTTGATTCAATTTAGTGAATTATCATGAAGAATCTGTGCTCAGTGGTTTTGAGAGCAGACCCTTAATAAAACCCAAATTTCTTCTTATTGCAGGAGCCCTCTGTGGTGACAGCAGACTTCAAACAACTTTTCCCATGTCTTGGTCAGACATAGTAGACGTATGGAATCGTAAAGCGTCTAACTTCAAGTATGGAATTGGAGCAATTGACCGAAGGAAAGACATCTATACCTACACTCAGGTACGGGAGTCGAACAGAAACCAGTCAAACAGCATGACAAAGTATTTCTTGTAATGCAGTGCATTCCAAATCTTAATTGTCATCAATCAGGGAAATTTACAATAAATGTAAAGCACACATAATTTATGTTATAAAACGTCCCCATGCTATACACAGAATTGTACTACTATAATAAATCATATCATAAACAATGTTTCTTAGTGAAAACTTCTTAATATAATTCCTCAAATGAAAAAAATGAAGTTATGTTGTCATCTTACTAGACACAGATTTATAGAACGTTAGTATAAGATATTTAGAGAGAGACAGAAAGAATATAAGACTGCTAATTTTTTTAATAAATTAAAAATATTATTCTCCTTATGGCATTTAATAGCACATATTTTAAATCATGCCACATTCTATTTTGCCTCTTTCCCAAAAACCTCAGTTACACTGGATGTCATCAAGGGACAGAGCCTTCTCAATTATGACACCCCAGCTAGAAATACTCTCCCTGCAAAGATACAAGTTGTCTCAACCGCTCTCTCTCTCTCTCTGTGTGTGTGTGTGTGTGTGTGTGTGTGTGTGTGTGTGTGTGTGTGTGTGTGTTTGTGTGTGTCCCTC